GGAGGGCTCTCATGATTACTAAATTTCTTCCAAATGACCTGATCACCTCCTACTAGACCCTACATCTTGAAAGTTCCACCACATCTCACACCACTATACCAGCAACCAAGCTTCCAATACATGAATTGCATTCAAACTATAGCCTAGGAAACATTATTGATGAAATAGTTCCAAGATTTGTGTTGCATTATGTGATTATGAGTAGATAGTATATTTTTATTTAAAGATTTATTTTATTTTTAATTATGTGTATATGTGTGTGTTCGTGTATGAATATGCATATGCGAATGCAGGTACAGGAGGAGGAAGTCTTGAAAAGGGTGTTGGGTACCCTGAAGCTGGAGTTATAGGTAATTGTGAGCCACCTAACATGGGTGCTAAGAACAGAACTCAGGTCTTCTGTAAGAACAGTGCATGCTCTTAACCTCTGAACCATCTCTCCAGCCCTATGATGGTATCTTTTTAAACACAGGACTTTAGTCTGGTTTACAACTTGCAATTGTCCTGCCTCAGCCTCTTGAGTGCTAGGATAACAGGTGTACACCACTGTGTCCAGAAACAGCGTCTTTATGGCTTTGTTTTACTTATTTTTTCTAAAGATTTATTTATTTGTTTGTTTATTTATTCATTTATTTATTTGTGTGTGTGTATGTATGTGTGTTTGTGCATATGTGCACATGCCTGAAGAGACCAGAAAAGGGGGTGTTGGTGTCCTAGAGCTAGAATTATAGGTGGTTATGATCCACCTGATGTAGGTGCTGAGAACCAATCCTACATCCTCTGCAAGAGCCACAAGTGCTCTTATCCACTGGGCTGCTTTTCCAGCCCTTATTTTTCATTTTCTTCCTTCCCCCCTTTCCCTTCACACTGAGTGGGTAATACACGGACAACATAACAGATTTTGAAGGAGGCACATTCATAGCAGTAGCATTCTGAATTGGGAAAGGATCTGACCTTGTTTTAAAATGCTGTGTGTTAAAAAAGGTGAAATGTAATTACCTGGTCATGATGGACATTTTGGTATGGGGACTACTTCTCATTTCTGCTCTGCCTCTTGTCCCTCTAATCTGGAGTCTTTGTGATTTGTTCTGAGCAAACTTCATCATGCATCAGCATCCATGAGGGAATTTAGATGTCTGCTCCTTTTAGAAATGTTCACTCAGTGGCTGGAGGTGCAGCAAAGCATGAGATTAGCATGCAGGATGCCTGGGTTCCATCCCCAGAACCACCACAAAGGAAGACAAAGCATGGACTGCATCTTTGCAGCTAGGGCCTTGAATAAAGAGTGACAACAGAATGGACAGCTGGTCTCCACACATGTGTACACACATGCATGCGTATCCACACACATACACACGCACATCCCAAACACACACACACACAAAGATTTATACCTTTCTAATCCTTCATTTCTTTTGGGGGGGGGGTGGGAGGAGGAAGGGAATTAGGAATATATTGAGTCCTCAGTGTTTAACTAGAGTTTTTCTTTTGTATTTTTTTGGGGGGGACTTCTTTTTGAGGAGTTTTTCTTTTATAATTGAAAATATTCTTTTCTAGTTATTAAATCCCTGTTTTCTTTTTTCCCCAAACTTTTTTCATTAAAATTTTAGATTTCTTTCCTAATTGCCCACTTTTGTTTTTCTCTTTTAAAATATGAGAGCACATCAAACTCCAATTTCTGTAATACATATTTTTTGTATCTATCATTAGGCATTTCAGTTTTGATGTTATCTTTGTCTCAAGAATTATTTAGGAGAGTGCTGTACATGGAGTTTTCTTTGAGGATACTAGACTTGTTTTGCTTTGCAGTGTTATTCCATTGTTACGAGATGTGCAGATGTTACGCCTCTTGAATTTTTACTTAAAATTTTGTTTTTGCATTTTTATGGTCATAAGATATTTACACAGAATATTTACATAAGATATACATATTTACATAAGATAATATTTACATAAGATATTTACATAGGATATTTATATATTCTATGGTTAATTTGGCATTAGTAATTGTTAGTGGTTTGTTTCATTTCTGTGTTATTTTTAATTTCTTTTTCATTTATCTTTTGGTATTTATGAGACAGGGTCTCCTGTAGCCCTGGCTGGCCTTGAAACTGTTGTTTTTTGTTTGTAAAAAAAGAAGAAAAACAAAGACAAGAAACATGGTTAGGAATATTTAGGAATCTCTCAGTTTTGTTTGGTCTGCTGCCTGGAGCTGCCTGAGGGCCAGGCTGTGTTATCTGGGTAAGACTAAGATGAAATTCCATGCTGGAGCATTCTCTTTATAGGCCACTCCTGAAATTACAGAGACACTGAGCATGAAATTCAATATCCTGCATAGCCTTGGGTAGAAATTCTTGTTTGATCTCAGGTCATATATCAACATTTGGTAAATTTAGATGCTTTAAGGGTTTAGCCTCAAACATTTCTGCTGTTTATCTAAGTAATTGGGGTATGGCCAGCCTGCTGGGACCCGGCTGTTATCTCCCTGACAACTTAAACACAGTCACTTTTTCTCCAGAGGGAAAGGGAGAGAGTAACAGGCAGATGTGTTCCTTTCCCCTTCGTTGCTTTAGAGTTGTAACAAGTCAGATTTGAGATCTCTTATCTAGTTAGTCAATAAAAATATGGTGTCTCTACTGTGTCATAATAACATTGGGCAAGTGAAATAATCCTTGTCCTTGACTGTTCATTTGTAATTCCAAGATAGGAGTAAATAGAATGAGAAATTAACATGACTGCTATGGATCATGCATGTATTAGGGGAGTATAGAAAAAGATGTGTACATTTTTCCTTAGGATTGGGGAGAAAATGAGACATTTAGGCTGGCTCCTGGAAATTAAGAGTAGATAAGACAGGTGGAGAAGGGGGCATCATGACCATGGCCAGGAGGATGAAAATAGATGGTTTGTTAGGAAAGAGAACTTGCCTCTTCTGCCTAGAGGGTACCATGTGGTTGGGGTTTGAGAACATGGGGCTGGAGGAGTTGGTCAGGAATCAGACTGTGAAGAGTGTTGATTAAGAGAGGAATTTGTACTGTATTTTGTGGATAGTGAATTAGCATTGAAAGCCTTATGGATGAAATTAGATCTTGACCTGTTTGATTTTGGTGTTAAATTTTGGTTCTCCATGGTAAATGCACCTTGACAAGATGTATCTCACCTTGAGCTTCCTGTTTCTGAAATGTGCAGTTTATGCCTCAGGTGTAGATGTCTGTGCTACTTGCCATGAACATGCTACATGCCTGCAAAGAGAAGGGAAGAAGATCTGCATTTGCAACTATGGATTTGTGGGCAACGGGAGGACGCAGTGTGTTGGTAAGTTCTGAATGGTAGGTTAAACTGAAAATTTGAATTAAAAAAACAAGTTTCTCCAGTTTTTTCTTTTAATTTTTTTTGATTTATTTGCTTTTTATTTTATGTGTGTGAGTGTTTTGCCTGCATACATGTAAAGTAAGTGCACCCATGTTATGCAAAGCTCACGGAGGCCAGAAGAGGGTATGGATCCCTTGGAACTGGAGTTAGGGATGGAGTTAGCCATCATATGGGTGCTGGGAAATGAACCTGGGTCCTCTGCAAGAGCACTCCAGACTCTTAACAGCTAAGCCATCTCTCCAGGCCCAAGGTTCTCCGTTTTAAAGTCCATGTGGGGAAAACATTGCTATTTTGTTCACATGTTTTTATTAGTGAAGTTGTGCCAATTATAATAAGTCTTTGTTTTATTGTTTGGACAGATCTTTTTTCCATGGTAGTTCCAAGGAAGTATCCCTCATGTTTGATATCATTGAACTAAATTCTCTGGAAACTCTTTGACCTGTACAGATTTGAAATCTGTTTTGAGTTTTAATTTAACAACTCAAACAAATACTACATTTCTTAATTTCTTTTATATAAAACTTTCTTTTGATATAAAACTTTTTCTATTAATACCATGGAGAAAAACAAAGTATACTTTTGTATCAGGACTTTCTGGTTAATGGATAAAATAACTTCCTTTGGGTCTTATGTCTATCAGAATCCATCCTCTGAATTTTTGTAGTTATGACTCTTTGGGATGACTTAAAGGAATACTTTAAGATGGCTTAAAGGTTGTTTTAGACTAGAATGCAGCTGAGATTTTTATTTTTCATATATTTTCAGATAACACTGAGATTCAAACACAATTCAAAGTTTCACAACTTGAATAGTAGTAAATGTAACAATAACTTTCCATGTTCCTCTCAATAACCTTGTTACATGCAGCAAAAGTTTGGCTTTGTAGCTATAGAGAGACACTGTACATATTCTTGTTGTGTGAGTTTTTTGTGTGTATGTGACTGTGAGTATGTGTTGTATGTGCACATATCTGTGTGTGTGCACAGAGGCCATCAGAAGATGTTGAGTGTCTGGTCTGTCATGCTCCACTTTATTCCCTTGAGACGGTCTCTCACTGAACCTAGAGCTAGGCTGGCAGCCAGCAAGCCCCAGGGATTCTCTTGTCTTCATCCCCACACCACTCTGGGAGTTACAAGGGTGTAAGACCATGCCCAACTTTTTACGTGATTGCTGGGAATTTGAACTCACATCTTCATGCTTATCCAACAATTACTCTTACCTACCTGCTCAGTCATCCCCTAGCCCAGTGTGTTTGTTTATAATCCTTAAAGAAAAATTAGAACTCAGTCCTGCATTCAAAAAGTCAAATTCCTAAAGCTGGGTGAGTCACATTCCATGTCCCAGATAAAAGCTGCTCTGGTGACCCACTGTTGCCCATCCTGTGGGCTGGTCTTGCATCTGCTTTGACCACCATCCCTCTAGAGGCCTCTTTCCTTGAGAAGTGAGGTTTCTGAAAGAATTTATCCTACTCTTCCTCTACCACTTGCTATACCCTTGTTAGCAAGGGCAGTTGGAGTTGAGGAGCTGGATGGGCTTTTCTGCATCTTCCCCTAAGGACTTCCTCCTCTCCTGGATGCTAATTGTGCTCTTGATTGTCCCTTGACTTAAGCAAAAGCTGTTTCTCTTAGGGGATGCTGGGCTTCACAACATTTCTGGTGTTTGATCTGAATACTGGTCACTGCCTGACCCAGTGGCCCTCTGAGTGTACTCAGCAGGTTCTCAGAGAGGTTACACATGAGGTTACCCATGTGCTAAAACACAGTATTAAGCCAAGGGGCTTAAGAATTCTGGACTCTTCTATAAACCTAAATATCCCAGTGACTATCTCCTCTGTGGGGAGAAATGGTCTCAGAAATAATAATGAAAGCCAAGACTATCCTATTTTATGCACAGCTGGACTTGTGTCTAAAAGCACTGTGTTGTGTTGTGCTGGTCACCACTGTACACTTGACCTCGCTGTGTGGCTTGAGTGTTCTGTCTTTTTGAGCTCTTAGGCAAATCTTTTTTAAAATTTAATTTTATTTTTTTTAAAGTTTGTTTTTATTGAATTTTTGTGTGTTTCACACAGAACATCTCCATCATGAGATTTTTTTGGGGGGGGGTCTTTTTGAGACAGGGTCTCCCTGTAGCCCCAGCTGCCCTGGAAATCACAGTTCAGGCTGGCCTTGAACTCACAGAGATCTGCCTGCCTCTGCCTCCCGAGTGTTGGGATTAAAGGCTTGTGCCACCACGCCTGGCCATCATGAGATCTTAATCATCTTTATACCCCTGTCCCCACTGATACCCTCCCATAACCCCCCCCCCCAACATACACACACTGGAGCCAATATATTCTGTCATTCCTGTTAAGGCCCACTGTATCAAGTCAGTGTCCCCAGATGTTCCCCAGTGCAAGTCCATCCATTGAGGTCTAGTCAGCCTATCTAGAGTTTCTGTTTTAGGAAGATCAGCTCTTTTTCACCTAGCAGCAATCAGTTGCCAATATTTCTTCAGATAAAATTGGGATCTGCTGTTCATTTTCCCAGTTCTGTGCTGGGTTTCTGTCTGCCTGAGTTTGCACGGGTCTTGTATATGCTGACACCATTGCCATAGAATCGTAAGAGCAGGTTCCCAGGAGCTTTTAGGCCTCTGTTTGCATATGATCCTCCATCTCCTCCCTGGCTCTTACCGTCCTTCTGCCCTCTCTTCCTTGATGGTCCCTGAGCCTTGGGTGGGTGAAGTTTAATGAAGGACCCCTAACCAAGGACCAGCGTTCAGCAGACTCTTGATCTCTATACTTTGGCTATTTGTAGCCTTTTGTGTTCCTGGTCATCCACTGCATGAGAGTCTTAGGCAACTCTTACCACAGACAGTTTTACCCATGAGTTGTGTTCTAAAATTCCGATAAAGTTTTAAAAAAGTGCTCGTAGGGACTGGAGAGATGGCTCAGCAGTTAAGAACACTGGTTGTTCTTGCAGAAGACCCGGGTTTGAATCCCAGCACCCACATGGCAGCTAACAACTGTCCATAACTCCAGTTCCAGGGGATTCGACAGCCTCTTCTGTCCTCCTCGGGCATTGCACGACATGGGTGCACTTACCTACATGCAAGCAATACGCACATACACATAAAAATAATAAATAAAAATTTTTTTTAAAAAAGGAAATATCCAGAGGTGTTTTATTGGGGCAGTAATGTGAGAGCGAAGTAAGCTGATTAGGGAGCCGATAGTGAAATAAAACATTAAGTAGCAAGCAGAAAAATAAACTACAGTTCCTAAGTCGATGGCTTGTTTTTATAGTTTCATTGGAACCAGCATTGCTTCCAATCTACAAACTTGTTTCTTATGGCTGCTTCCAAGCTCTGTAAGCATGAGTACAATGTGGAGAAAAAGTTTGCTGGTTCCTGGACTAGACCAGAAATGGAAGCGGGGAGGCTGACTTCATTTTATTCCTTTAATCTGTTTACTTAGACATGCTCAGGGTTGCCTTTGCCTTCTGCTCCGCATTGTGTGGCCATCTTGGCTCACTGGGGACAGTTAGCATGAGTGATTCCTGCCTCTGGCTGAGCTCCATGAGGCCTCAACACTAATGCCATTGCATTTCCTGGGCACTCACAGTACAACTTTCCAGTTGCATCCTTGGATATGTCATCCTACTGGTCCTGTTCTTACAGTCTCTTCTGGCTTTCAGTCTTTCATGGCTTTCATGAAAAAATGCAAGAGAATAGCTGAAGTAGCTGGATTCTGCTGTTTGTTTCCTCAGGCTTATTAAAAAAATCTATCAAATCAATTAACTTTTGAGGGTATGTGATGTGTGTGTGTACATGTATGTGTTTGTGTGTGTGCATGTGTATGAAGTCAGAGGACAACCTCACCTTCCACCTTGTTTGAGACAGGATCTCTTGTTTGCAGCTGTGTGCACCAGGCTAGCTGGCCAGCTAGCATTGGGGAACTCTCCTTTCCTTATCTCCCATTTCTCTATAGGAGCACTGGGGTTATAGATGTGCACTCTGTGACTTTATGACCTTATGTAGGTGTGGGGATCTGAACTCAGGTCCTTGCTTTTGTGCAGCAGGCACTTTACCCACCAAACCATCTCCCAGCCCCTGATTAAAAAAAAATTTAATATTTCATTTTGTTATTTCTGTGTGTGTGTGTGTGTGTGTGTGTGTGTGTGTGTGTGTGTATCCATGTACACATGGAGGTCAGATGACAACTTTTGAGACACATAAAAAGCCATCATAAAAAACAGCTATTGAGCGAAAAGATTTTTTTTTTTTTTTTTTTATTTTGAAAAAAAAAAAAAAAAAAAAAAAAAATCAAAGAAAATCTGCTCTCAATCTTCAAATAAGATATATTGCCAGATTGGGATGTTATGTTTCTCTTGTGGGTTCGTGTACACCTGGTGCATAACTATGAGAGTCCAGTTCCTTCTAGTGAAAGGAGAAGAGGCTGGAGAAATGGATGGGTAAGCTGTTGTCCCACAATAGTAATCCTCGAGTCTATGACATGGGAGGAGTTTGGGTAAGGAACCTGGTATGAGTGAATAGCCCTGGCTGTGAGGCATTTCCTTGTATCCCCAGATAAGAATGAGTGCCAGTTTGGAGCCGCGGTGGTCTGTGGGAACCACACATCCTGCCACAACACACCAGGAGGTTTCTACTGCATTTGCCTTGAAGGCTATCGAGCCACAAACAACAACAAGACATTCATTCCCAATGATGGCACTTTCTGTACAGGTACTAAAGGGGACTGCGATGATGGCTACTTGGTGATGGAACAACAGTGAATGGGTAGAGGGCAGGACCAGGGCAGGGAGCCTTGAACTTGGACATGGACTGAGCATTATTATTAGGGAATTAATACTAATATTGCTAGATGAGATAAAGATATTGTGGTCTATAGAATAATACTATTTTGAGAGATGAATGCTGAATTTTCTGGGACATTATTATGAAGTATTTAGTATTAAGATACCTGTAAAATGTTTTAAGTGACAAAATGTGAATAGCTATTGAATAATTTATGATTTTTTGTGGCGTGGGTATATGAGAATTGATAATAATGCTATTTTTTTTTTCTAGTTTTGTGTGTTTAAACATTTTTTTAAGCATTTTTTTTTTTTTTTTTTTTTTTGAGACAAGTCTCCTTGTAACCCCAACTGACCTGGAATTTGGTGTATAGACCAGGCTGGCCTTGATCTCACAGAGATACTCTGTTTCCTGAGTTCTGGGATTAAAGGTGTCTACCACCATGCCTGGCCAGTGTTTAAACATTATTTATTTATTTATTTATTTATTTATTTAATGTGTGTAATTTTCCTGTATGTATGTAAGTACACCTGTGTCATGCAATGCCTCGGAGGTCAGAGGAGGGCATCAGATTCCCTGGAACTGTGGTTATAGATGGTTGTTAACTGCTGTGTGGGTGCAAACCCGGATCTTTTACAAGAGTAGCCAGTGCTCTTAACCACCAAGCCATCTCTCCAGCCCCGTTTAGACTTTTTTTTTGGTCTTTTTGAGACAGAGTCTCCCCTGGAAGACCAGCTGTCCTGGAACTCACTATGTAGACCAGGCTGGCCTTGAACTCACAGAGATCTACCTGCCTCTGCCTCCCAAGTGCTGGGACTACAGGCATGTGCCACCACGCCTGGCTAGACATTTTTTAACCTTAAAATTTATTATTGTTGGGTGTGGTGGCATACTCCTTTAATCCCAGCACTTGGGTGGCAGAAGCTGGTGGATCTCTGTGAGATCGAGGCCAGCCTGGTCTACATAGCAATTTCCAGGCAAGCTGAGGCTGCAAGGAGACACTGTCTCAAAAAACTAAAAACTATTATTATTATTATTGTGTGTGATGTGTGTATGGGGAGTGTGAGTGTGTGTGCGCCACAGCATGCCTGTGAAGGTCAACTTTCAGGAATCTCTCATTTTCCTGTGTATTTTGTATACTAACCTCAGGTCATCAGGCTTGTGTGGCGAGCATTTTTACTTGCTGAGCCATCTTGCTGGTTCACATTTAAACATTTTTTACTTTAATTAAAAAAAAATTATGTGTATGAGTATTTTGCCTGCATGTATGTGAGTGCACCCATGTCATGCAATGCCACGGAGGTCAGAGGAGGGCTTCCAGCACTTGGGTGTCAGAAGCTTCCACCTGGAACTGACGTTAAGGATGGTTTGTAGATGCCATGTGGGTGCTGGGAATCGAACCCAGGTCCTCTGCAAGAGCAGTCAGTGCTCTTAACCACTAAGCCATCTCTCCAGCCCGACGTTTAAACATTTTTATAATAAACAGTGAGGCTAGGCTCTCTGGAGGTGGTGTGCCACCCACTAAGCATCCAGGAGTGGGTACTGTGGAGGTCTAAGCACTATTGTAGAGGACTTGCTTCCAAAGGGAATAGGCTAGATGAGGAGTGCCACTTTTGGGACCACAGCAACTTTGTAGGTTAGATCTCTGGGCATATATTGGCTGACTGTAAGTCATGAGGAAAACACTCCTAATTTTCAGTGACTCCTAGAAGAGCTCTATTTATAGTATGTCATGAGAATACATCTCTTTGGCTTTCTAAGAAAATCTTAGAACAGTCATGAAAAGCAGAGACAGGAAAATACTCCTGGTTTTAAGATGGTTTGCATAGACTTTATGACTACTTAAAAGCTTTGTGGTATTTAAAGGTTTTCAGGGAAAGAAAGGGAAGGAGCACATGTTTAATCTTTGCACCACCAGGAACCATAGCTTCTGATGCTCTGTGCTTTCTCTCTCTTGACCTGTGCCAAGGTGAAATTCCTCAAAGGATACATTCAATTTGTTCTTAGTATGGATGAATGCATTCTCTTGGAGAAAGCACTTTATAGTACCCTATTCTTGTAGGCAACAAATTACTGGCTGTATGGTTTCAGAAGTATGATGTTGCCATATTAAATTAGGTGCACTCTAAAAAAGATACTAATTTTAAAAACTTAATGATGATAATATGTTATCTAGCTCATTCAATATACATTTTTCATGTTTTTCTTAGGCTGGGCCAGTGGAAAGTGATGGGCAGACAGCTAATTGTACTGCTGTGGGTGTTGGGGATAGGTAAACAAGGGTGTTGCCTGGAATATATGAGTGACCCTTATCTTAGCAGTGAGGAGGGGATGTGGGGAATGTTCTAGAAGACATGATACCTAAAATTGTTCTTTAAAGGTTTTATTAGGGGCTAGAGAGATGACTCAGCAGTTAAGAGTATTGGCTGCTCTTGTAGAGGACCCAAGTTCGATTCCCAGCACTCACATGGAGGATAACAACCATAGGTAACTCCAGTTCCAGGGGATCCAGTGCCCTCTTCTGACCTCTGCAGGCATTGCATGTCATGGGTGCATGTACACACATGCAATATGTCATATACATAAAAAAAAAAAAATAGTTGGGTGTGGTGGCTCACGCCTTTAATCCCAGCACTCCAGAGGCAGAGGCAGGTGGTGGTGTCACTGTGAGTTCGAGGCCAGCCTGGTCTCCATGGTGAATCCAGGAGGCCAGCTGGGGCTATGGGAGACCATGTCTCAAACACACACACACATACACACAATTTATAGAAGCATGAAGGTTGATGGGCTTATTAAAGGCTGTATCAGTATTATTCTAAGGTGTGGGTTCAGTTCTTAAAAATAAGGAAGAGGGGAGCTGGGAATGTGGTTCAGTGGTAGAGTCCTTACCTAGCATAAGTAAGGACCTGGGTTTGGTCCCTGGCACTGGATACCAAATAAGCAGGTTATAAAGATGAAGAATGGGAAAGGAAGAGGAGGAAGGAAAAAGGAGGAAGAAGTAGGAGGGGAGAGGAGGAGAGGCAACTAGCAGGAAAGGAGATGAGAAGAAAATACTTTCTGAAAGAGTCAGTATGTATCAGCCAAACAAGAATCACTTTGCTTGGAACAAAATCCTACCCAAGCTCTGCTGCTATTTATTACAGTTCTTGAAATTATTTAGTGATTTACATTTTATTTTTAAATTTTATAACCTGTTAAAAAGATTTTTTTTTTTTTTTTTGGTCTTTTTGAGACAGGATCTCCCTGTAGCCCCAGCTGTCTTGGAACTCACTATGTAGACCAGGCTGGCCTTGAACTCACAGAGATCTGCCTGCCTCTGCCTCCAGAGTGCTGGGATTAAAGGCATGTGCCACCACGCCCAGCAGTGATTTCCATTTTAAAAAGAAAGATAGAATCCACATCCATGAATTTCTTTTCTTTTGAAGTATTTAATTTAGTGGGTTTTAGCACATTTATGATGGTTTGCTATTATTGTCACTAGCCATCTCTCCACAGGGAACTCCAAAATTCATTGGAAGTCATTCCAGTGACTTTTGGCAGTCATTCCTGTGATTTTTCCTTTTGAGTCTCTGTTGGCCCTTTGTAAAAGCCAATGGATGATTTTTCTTACTGGTACTGAGGAGTCCAATACTTTGGAATCACAGTTACTGGAGAGATATCAGTGGATGCTAGCTGGGACCAAGTTCAAATTTTGAGGTCTCAGCCTTTATCCAGTGTTTGCCTGGAACTTCAGGCTGTGAAGCCCAGTTCTTATATTCTGAGAAACAATCCCCCCCCCCCCGGCATCTGTTGTACTTTGCAGAGTTTAAGTCAGGCTCAAGAGCTGGGGACAGGTAGACCTCTTTGGAGGTCACCAATCATAGATGAAGAATGAGTTACACTGATTCTAGTGTGGGATGTTTCCAGCCAGTCCTGGATAACTAGACAATGCTCTGGTATTCAGAGTTGCCCCTTGAGTGATTCCTGGGAGTCGTGGAAACCTTGCCGTGAGGCACCCACAGAGGAAGAAAGTCTGTGGCAACAGCTGTGTGAGAGCAATGTGAGAGTAACGGGAGAGAAATTAGGCCATATGGGAATAAGGCCTTTGGTTGCCATTTCCCTACCCACAGGGCTCCAAGTAGTCGTGGGTCTACTAGGACCTGCTGAAAAATGCTAAGTAGCTTTCCTGTGCCTCTGAAGTCCCCAGCGCTTGCATACCCATTCTGATTGGCAGCAGCAGCCTTGTGTATTTCCTGCATCATTAGGGCACGATGCTGTTGCTTCTGGAGAAATATAACAGCAATTCAGCCTTGGCTAAGAAAGGAGAAAAAAGCAAACAAACAAACAAACACCGAAAAAAAAAAAACAAACAAACCAAAGAAAACACAAAACTCCCCAGGAGCTTTGCCCTTCATCATTTCCTGGGTCTTCTCTCCCAAAGCCTGTACCCTGTGAATCTTCCCATGTGAGGCACATATCTTCATTTCTAGATAGCTCTTCTTACCCAATATCGAGGGTAACTGTTGGTTTTTCCCCAGAGCAGGAGCCTCTTTCTCTAAGGGAGTTATTGTCTTGAAGCTTCCTGGCTCCTGCTGTTTGGTGTCTGCACCTGTAGTGTTGTACAAATTTGCAGTCCCACCAGAGCTGCCTGCTCTCTGTGGGGAGCTGTGCATTCCCTATCTGCCTTAAGGTTTCTCCCAGGGGATTTTCCAATGGAGCTTCACTTTCCAAATTCATCCCTTTGTATTAACTGGGTTTTATTCCTCGAGTGATGTTTTATCAATCTGGAAGAAGGTGAAAGGAAGGGAAGACAAGTCCAAGGAAAAGAGGGTGTTGCTCCCACTGCCCAGAGCAGGACTTGCTAACCAACCACTGGCTCTTCCCTGAGGAGTCGCCCTGACTCCTGCTTAGACCTCCAGCTGTGACAGATGAGGACATCAGACCCCTGC